TATCAGACCAACGATGACTTTCTTTCGTGTCGACCATCTACAATTGATGAGAAACAAAGAAATGGATTTTCATAAGAGAATCATTGATTTACTTCGTTGTTGTTCCAATCTTATGTAGATTATTCGATATCGTTGGTGTTTGTGGAGGAGTTGGTGATTCAGAAAGAATCTAAATTTGTCATTCTTCATCCTGAAAAATAATTCTTTCGTTTTCTACTTACATTTTCAAAATCGTGATGCTGAGATTTCGCTCTGGGTAGACGAAGTACTCGATGAATTGGTTTTGGTACGAATGGGTCACCTGTGCTCGTTGGCATTTTTATGCTTGATTTCACTTTCGAATAACGATCACGATGATGACGAAGAATCAATTATGAACACACTATTAAGAAATTTCATACTCAAATATCAATTCATTCCAGCTACATGCTTTCGAAAAACGACAAAGTTTAAAGGACATTGCTGACAATGAAAGATTTCCATAATACTTTTCAGTCGCAACTTCTCACAGAAACTAATTATCTCAAAGTTGTGAGATTTCAAATACTTTCGATTATTGAAACGGTTCTCGATTGTCTACAGAAGTTTTTTGTGATCAGAAGCAGTAACACATTGAAAAGAGAATTGTATTTCTTTTCTGAATAGCTTACGTCAAAAATGGTAATTTCCATTTTCACCGAATGAAATCATAAACGAAAACGAGTCTGGACCAAATATAATCCGTTGAATATATAACAGTTTATTATCAAGTCGATTATATCTATTGCTTGGTCGAAAACAGATACCACCAGAAGAAGATTTCATCTATCGTAATTTTTGCCTAAAATACTTATAGCGGTAGTATAGTCTCTATATTTTGTTAGAGGTTCAATGGTTAGTTTCAGATATACTCCTGAAAGGTTATAGGTGTGGCTGTGGATGTGGGTGCCAGTGTGAAGAAGAAAATACCCACAGCCACATTCTTCCACAAAAACGTGTATATCCAACTATTGAGCTTCCAAAAAAATCTACGAACTATCCTACGGCCACAAATATTTTGGGTCTAAATTATTACGGATGATGTCTTATTCTGGTATCATATGTTTTCGATCAGCCAACAGATTTAATCGACTTAGTAATTGACTGAGATGGTAACCAATCAATTTAATCATAATAAAATATTATATAAACTAAGGGCATACTCAAGGGAGGGAGAAGCTGATTGCAATCAAAGCAATCTGGGCAATCGAAAATTCAGCTTCCCCCTCCCCCCCCCCCTTGAGTATATCAAAAGTTTCGAAATTGATATTATATCAAAGTACAGCAAGCTTAAGAAAAAAAATTCGATTCATATATATGTCGTATCGACGTTATATCGATTGATGAAGTTATAATTTCATTATAGAATTGTGTCGAAGTTATCTCAAATCAACTAAATATTAAATAATTGATCATATTAAAATCAAAATATGTACTTATAGTTAATTCTCCATTTAAAAACATACACAGGATGCCCCAAAAGTCTGCTATTTATCAAACTTAATCAACCAATTCTTTTTTCAGATGATAGATATCAATGTTAAGTTTTGTTTGTACCGACAAACTTTACAGATACTGTTTAAAGTAGGGGTGGGAAGTCACCGTTACCGTTTCCGGGTAACGGTCCCGTTACCAGTTACCCGGGAACGGTAACGGGCCTCTTATAAGGAGTACCCTTGGGTCCTCAAGTCCTATTATTGGGGAGCACAGTTGGGTCCTCAATTCCTACTATTGGGAAGTACCCTTGGGTCCTCAAGTCCTATTATTGGGGGACACTCTTGGGTCCTCGAGTCCTATTACCGGGGAGTACCCTTGGGTCCTCAAGGACAAATGCCAAAGCTATATTTTCGCCGTGTTGCATTGAGTAGGAGCCCATACATATACCCATCAAACGATTGAGCACCCTCGATAACCCTATGTTTGGCCCAAACATGCCCATTGCTTTCCCTCACAATAAGGGAAAAAAATTTGAGCCCCCTCGGGCACCCCCAATAATAGGACTTGAGGAGACAAGGGTACCCTCCAATAGTATAGGACCTGAGGACCTAAGGGTACCCCCAATAGTAGGACTTGAGGACCCAGGGGTATCCCGCAATAATAGGACTTGAGGACCCAAAGCTACCCCTATAATATAGGCCTGCAGGACCCAAGGGTATTCCCATAGTATAGGACTTGAGGACCCAAGGGTACCCCTATAATATAGGACTTGAGGACCTAAGGATGCCCCTATAATATAGGCCTTGAGGACCCAAGGGTACCCCCATAGTATAGGACTTGAGGACCTAAGGGTACCCCCTTATAATAGGCCCGTTTCCAGGAAACGGTCTGGGAACGGTAACTTCCCACTCCTAGTTTAAAGTTATAACTTTCGACCAAAATACTGAGCCCAGCGCTTTTTGGACCCACTCCACAATGTTTCTCTTTTCAATACCTCAATTTCTTGCGTTTTTTGTGACTTTTATATCGGTCATATCTTAGACTATCGTTTATATGCATTTATTGTGATATGTCAATGCAAAATAATCCTAATAATATCAAATTTCAAGACCTAGAAGGGTATGAGACCGGTTTTTCATCTCGAATTCATCAGTCATCGTTCCAATAGTTAAAGCGATGTTATGAACTTCCTAAATCTTGGAACTGGACATGATTAGGGTTATTTTGCACTGACATATCACAATAAATGCATATAAATGATAGTCTAAGATATGACCGATATGAAAGTTACACAAAGCGCAAGAAATTGAGGTATTGAAAGAGAAACACTGTGAAGTGGGTCGAAAAAGCACTAGGTTCAGTGTTTTAGTCGAAAGTTATAACTTTAAACAGTATCTGTAAAGTTTGTCGGTACAAACAAAAATTTAACATTGATATCTATCATCTGAAAAAAAATTGGTTGATTAAGTTTGATAAATAGCAGACTTTTGGGATATCCTGTATATGTTTTCATTTATTGTCTAAATAAAATTTCCACACCATTCGTATAACAGAGCTTCCTGATTGTTAACAGTTGCGAGATATGCAACTCATGTAGATAATTTCGACAAAAAAGTCCGAATTAAATCGATTAAAATGGTCTGATTTAATTTTCACTGAAATTTGATTTAACTTTAAAAACAGATTTCCATTGATTTTAGGCTTTTTAATCGATTAAAATTGACTTTATAAACTGATTAAGAAAGATCAAAACCAAATGAAATCTATCTTTAAAGCTAATAAGTCAGGTTTTAATCGGATTCAAGTAGTATCATTTTAGTTGACAGTTGTTCATAAAATAATCGATTCAAACATAATTTATCGCATTTTTTTCTTACATTAGTCAGTATTAATTGACATCCTATCTCAACGCCTGATATGCGTATCAAAGTCTAACCTCGTGTGATAATTACAATTTGCTGAGCTGAGGAGTCTGAAAAAAACGACCAAAAGTTTGAGTTTCTAACTTAAAATTCAAGAAAAACCTGTTTTACAACCATCGACATGTAGCTCAGTTAAAAGTCAAATAATCTAATTTTGATCGAATGATAATAGTCCCATTTTAATCGACTTTTAGCTAGAAGGAAGTCTATCGACTCAGTTTTTTCTTGGTGGGAAATCTTCCTTGTAAAAAATAAATGAAGTTCGGACCGAGCGGCCCGACGGAATTTCGGGCCCGCCCGACCCGGAATAAAAATCTACTTGGGCTGGATGACGAACGTCGGGTGTATGTGCAATAAAACTTCATTACGAAAATATAAAACCACATGTGTATTAAAATGTTTCAAACCATCTTGAATTGGAAGGCATCAAAATTATTCGACAAATACCGAATTCTCGAGAGCTGCTATCATGTGATCTTCGATTATTCGATCTGATCAAAGCAATTCACAATCCTTGCACTGTGCCATAATCAAGATCATGAACTCGATCAAGAAAGATGGCTATAAAGAAACTTTTGATAAATGACTAGAACGAATGCAGTTGTGTGTAAATAATAAGGGAAACTACTCTGAACATTTCATGAAATAAAATCTAGAATAACTTATTTCTATATTTTTTTTTGAAAATCTTGATGCTTTTGGTATTCACTAAGTACAATGGATCATGTTTGATCTTAACTCATGTTGAGTTATGAATTTATTCAGCGACATTGGAATCGACAAAAATGGACTAATTCTAAAAAATCATCAAGAATATGTGATTGAAATGTTCACATCCACATTTTCTGTATTGCCTTTTTCTTGACAACTGTTTCACGATTCAACTCGCGTCTGAAATCGAAAGGTTCAGTCTTTCTTAGGGAGAATTGCCGAACTCGAAATATATATGACACTTTCTAAACTGTATTGACAGTCAACATATTGGTATTCGACACGAAGAAAATGTCGTCGATAGTTCAATAAAGAAAGTTCATATTCGAATTCTATTTAATAGAGCTGTGCAAGAATCATTATTGAATGAAGGTATCCGATTTCTTCCTACCTGAGTTTATTGAAAAATATCACAAAGTAAAATCAAACAATCACACTCCTCTCACTCTATTTGCTGTTTTTCACTCTCACTAATGGAAAGAAATGAGTGGAATGAGAAACAGCACCATTTTAAAATGAATATCGGAGGTGGATGAAAGTAACTTTCTTTCTGCATTGACGTCAACAAAAATGCAGTTGCTATTTACTTCTTCACAATCAACAAACGCACGACTACAATTTCAGTTGGAGGAGAATGATTGTGAATGTAGGTCACGAGACGATCAGTACCCAAGAACACAGCTACACCATAGCGACACTCACAGTCACATCCATACCCGCCCGAAGCAGTTGAAATAATCAATAGAGGTTGTGTGTGTGAATGGTTGTGGGTATACTTAAATCAATTGTAAATGATGTTCTAGTTTTTCTTTTTTACATGTCATATGAGATTTTTGTTTTTCTAATAGTTTAATAAAGAAAAAAAAAAGAATTGAATATATGGATTTTTAGGAAATATTATTGTTTTCAGCTATGAAACCATATCGTGATATTTCAATGAATACTACACAAACAAATACAACTAATGGCAATATAGAAGATAATCAAAAAGAAAATAATAATTTATATTTAGAAATTATCAGACAACAACAAGAACTTGTTAATAAATTATCTTTTAGTCAAAGGAAATTTATAATCGAAGATCGTGTATTGAAAGCTATTTCTGGTTTACGTCTAGCTATTATTATTCCAAAAGATATTAAATATAATAAAAATATTAAATTAAAAATCAAAAATATACTTCAAACATATTAGAAAGAAGGTTCAAGTGTGGGTGTGGGTGGGTGTGGGGTGTGGGTGTGGGGTGTGGGTGTGGG